GTTTGCACCCTTTGGTGCAATTCTAACCACAGTCAACAGAGGGGACCGTTGGATTACTGGAGATGCAGAACCTGCAGTTCTTTTATGCTGACCAGCAGGGGGCACTGTGGCATCACTGGTCATTGCCTATGGGGGTAACACCCTCTGGGGTGTGTTGGAGGAACCAACCAAAAAGAAAATGTGTTTCCCTTCCCTTCCCCACACACTGGGAAAGGGGAAAGAGAGAGGAGGGAAAGAAACAACAAAAAAAAAGGTCCTCCCCAATGAAAAAAAACCTTACTGTATTCGGCTGGTCTAATCGTGCAGCACAGTCCTCTCTCTCCCCCTGATGTGCACAAGGGGAACAGGAAAGGGGACAAACTTCCAGAAAACAACTCCTCTCTGATGAAAAATCCAAGCAGGATCCTCAGTTGGCAAGCAGGTTGAGAACAACAGGAACAACTGAGCTTCCACTCCAACCTTGTTCCAGTCTCCGCAGCAAGTCCAAAATTCCTCCCCCCATTTCCCAGGAGATGAGAGAGAAAAAGTAAAGAGGAGCCCCTCATCCCCCCATTTCCTAGGAGACGAGATTCTGAGCAATTAACCAGAAACCAGCTTCTTTTGTGCCCCTTAAGTGCCCACTTAATAGCTCTGCATGCAGTGGGCAGGGGGAAGGGAAAAATTTCTACTTAGTTTCTAAGAACCAGCAAAACCATGACACACGGTCTAAACTCCTTAACATATCTGAAGCCTGGGACTGTTGCAAAATGTGGAATATGTAAAATTTTCTTAAGAAAGGATATTCTTTAATATATGATCTTTGTATACTTTCAAACCTAATAGACAAAAAGGGATATTTAATCCATGAAACAGAGAGAAACTAACAGGGTTAAAGTGATGTTCATGTGCTAGAAACACAAATTACTTGTGGGTAGAATTACCTTCTTAAGGTTTAGGGCTGGACATGCTTCAATGATCTCAGACCTAGGGGGAGGTTAACAAAGCTTGTGATGAAGGATGTACCACTGATAGTGGATACAAAGAACGCAGAACTTATGGGTCACAAAGACATCTGGCAGAACTCCCAAGATAAGGAAGAAACTAATAAACCCAAATCAGCAACTGTGCTGAAATCAGTTCCAAGTGGGTAAAAGGTAATTCCAGCAGGGGGAGATCTGTGATCACCTACCCACAGACCACTGACCCAAGAAACCCACCAACTCAAAAGAAGAGACAGTCTGAGCATGTGGACTAATTAGTGTGAGAAGTAAAAGAATCATTAACCAATAGAAGGTAGAATACTAATTAATAGGAGAACTATGTAACTTGTAGCCAATGAACACTAATTCACTTTGTTTACTAAAATGTATAAATAGTAAAAAGTTTTGATAATTGGTGTGCTTGATTTGTGGAATACCACCAAGCACCCTGGTTTGCACAACTCTGAAATAAATAATCAATGTGTCTCTTGAGTGTGTAATTATTGGCTTGATACATACCAGGTAACAAATCCAATTTTTGTGGACAACAGGACTAGCAATACAAACTACAGGGGTTTTAATTATCTGAATCAAGGTATAGGAGAATTCCATACATAGTTCAATAGAGATATGGACTGTAAAGGCAGTAACAAGTTAAAAAAGCAAACGATGTTAGGGCACAGAAAGAAGACTAAACAAGAATGTAATTGTACTGTAAAGTGCAGTGATGAATGTTCTTTCTAGAACTATGGAGATTGCTGATAATTTAAATAATATTGAGAAGATAAAAATCATAGAAGATTAGGTTATGGCAAGAGTAAGAGAAATTACTGGGATTATATAACTGTTGTTTTTTTCCCAGACACACAGAAGTGTATATAAAGTACCATTAAAAGCGCTGAGTTTAAGTAATTTATATTGGCAATTTACAGGAATAAGGTTCAGTTGTGCACCCTGAATTATGCTTTCCCTATTTATCCACATGTATATCATACAACCTTTATTAACATTTAAACTTCCTTGATTGAACTCCAGACTAAAAAAAAGGTGCACCTTTAAAAGGTTTTTTAAAAAATTATATATTTTACTAGTTATTGAAAACTTTGTTTAAGCCAGCTCAAGTGGACTTGAGTGTTTCAGGATGTTATAGATACCTTTTGTGGATGAAAAGAATTTGATGGAATTTTAAGTCTTCAGTTAAAAAAAAAAATCTTAACATATACAACGAAGTATTAAGCACATCCATCAAGAATTCATCAAAATATGGTTGACAGTTTTTGAATACAGATATACTGAAAAAAAGTAGAATAATAAGGACATTTAAGTATTAGACAATGTCATGGTTTTGCTGGTTCTTAGAAACTAAGCATGAATTTTTCCCTTCCCCCTGCCCACTGTGTGAAGGGGATGTTAAATGGGCAGATTGACTGTGGCTTGGGCAATTGACTAACACAAAAGAAGTGGCTGATAGAACTACATTCTGAGTTGATGGCACTCAAGATCTTGTCTTTGGGGAGGGGTAAGGAGGTTTTTTTACTTTTTTTTCTCTCTGCTGGGAAACGGGGGGAGATCAGTTTCTGTCTGAGCTGGGACGAGGTCCAGGTGGTAGAAGCTTGGAGGTGGTTTTGCTCCGGGCCTGGCTGCCAGCTGGGAATTTTGCTTGTTCATCGGCAAGGAACTGTTCTGGAGGCCTCTCCTCCTCCATTTTTTTGGCAGTAGTTCTTGTGCACATCAAAGGAGAGGGGAGGCTGTGCCACACGACTCAGCCAGTAGGATAGAGTTCCCATTGGGAAGGACCTTTTTCTTTCTTTCCCTCCTCTCTCTCCCCTTTCCTAGTGGGGGGGGAGGACCTCCATTTTCAGCTTCTCCAGTATACCCAGGAGTGACCACCAGCGATCCAACAGCACCCCCTACTGACTGACACAGGACACTACAAGCTCTGCATCTCCAGTGATGCAAGAGCACCCCCTGATGACTTTGGTTAGAATTGCACCAGAGGGCGCAAATTGAACTGTTTTCCCTTTTTTGTTTGTTTTGAAAGGGATTATTTTTGGGTATAGGATTATTGTTTGGTTGTTTTATTTGTGTTCTTTCGTTGTTTCTGCCAATACACATATATCTTTTAATAAAAGGTTGTTATTTTTTTTCCTTTTTCCATACTTTCTCAATCGGACCCTCTTAATTTCGGATTTACAAGTGCTTAGAGGAAGGAGTTTGGGTCTTCCTCATAATTCATCCTCAGAAAAACACTTGTGTCTCATTTAAACTGACAAGAAGAAATATGAATAAACACATATAACTACCCAAGAATAGGGGTACTGTAATAACTGCAAAGCCCTACAAGACCCAGTATAAAGTCAGCAAAAGATCATGAAAACTTACAGAAAACTTTTTCAAGGCACTACTGAAAGAGCACCAGATTTCAATATATTTACAGATTTAGGTAAACATGGACTTGCAAAATTTACAGTCTCACAATCAAGTTTTTCTATCCATGCAGACCTTCATAAACCCTTTTTCTTGCCCTCCACAGGTTGCATAACATTACTTCAAAGTCCCTTCCTTTTTCTCTCCTTCCCTATCTCCAACACTGTGAAAGAAAAAAAACCAAAACCATACATCTCGAGTTTTCACCCTCCTTTACTCTTATCCTCACAGGGACACAATTTAGTATTTTCTGCACGTTTGAAATCCTTTTGTTGCAGTGTGGAGCATAGGCCTGAAAAGACCCCTGCCAGAAACAAGTCAGGGCTTGCAGCTTCTCCACCCGTACCTCCGATGCGTGCAGCCTCTCTACCTGTACCCCCGACACGCGTACTTTCCCCACCCATGCCTCCATTAGAATCATCTACGGATGAAGAAGAAAAAGAGCGCCTTGATAAAACACTGTTAGCGAGAAGAACTCGGAGGGGGGGAAGGGAGCGGGGGAAACACCGGGAACAAAGGAGGGCTGCGTCACCCTCCCCTCCGAGGTTAATGGCTCCTTTGCGAGAGGCGGTCGGGGCGGGGGGGGCGCGGGTGATGGTAAAAGTTCCTTTTTCACCTAATGATTTGTTAATTTGGAAACAGTCAGCGGGAGCATACAGGGAAAACCCTGAGCGCGTAGCACGTGTTGTTAAAATGGTTATAAAAACTCAGAATCCAGATTGGAATGATTTACAGGTTTTGTTGGATATGGTATTACGAGTGATGGTTGAAAAAGCCAGAGAACGGATACGCGCTCAGCCAGGTCAGGGGACAGTGAATGATTGGGTGCCGCGAGAAGACCCAGAATGGAATCCGAACGCGGCAGACGATTATCATAGGTTGAGATCTTATCAGGAACTGTTAGTAGAAGGAATACGGAGTGGGATTCCGAGGACTTTGAACTGGTCTAAGTTATATTCAGTGCGGCAGGAAAAGGGAGAATCCCCATCTGCCTTTTTGGAAAGGTTAAAGGAAACAGCTCGACAATTCACGGACTTAGATGTAGAAGCGGAATCAGGGAGGTTACAGTTGGTTCTAATTTTCATGGGGCAGTCGCAAGAAGATATTAGGAAAAAGCTGCAAAAGCTGGAAGGTGAAGAAACAAGGAACTTAGAAAAGTTGTTAGAGGTAGCTTGGAAAGTGTATAATAATAGAGAACAAGAATCTGCAAAGAAACAGCGAGCGAACAACATGTTGGGCAATTTTACAAGCTGCAGGAGGCGGAGTACAAAGGGGAAGGGGGCGGGGAATTAGAGGAAGAGGGGTTGGTCGCGGTTTTGGTAACCAAACAGGGTTTGGATTTCAAGGAGGACGTGGAAAATTAGGGCTGAACCAGTGTGCGCTGTGCAGAGGACAGGGACATTGGAAAAATGAATGTCCTATGAGTATGGGATTAGGGGTAAACCCATTTGGTGAAAAACATGCAGGGTGCAAATACTGGGACACCGCGAAGGTGTCGCCCAAGCATTTATGTTGCAGGATTACTCAGAGTCAAAGCTGACTAGATCGATCTTAAGGTTATCCAGATAGAAGGAGAGCCTATGGAATTCCTGTGATACCGAGTTTAAGGTTTTTCCGCAATGAATACATTAATGGGTCCCTTAAGTAATTCAACTGTCCGCGTCGTGGGTGTGTCAGGTCAAACAGAGGAAAGGGCATTCTTGCGTCCACTGGATATTAAATTTAGGGGAAAGCAATTAGATCATCAATTTCTTTACATGCCTAATAGCCCGGAATGTTTACTGGGGAGAGATTTGTTGTCTTCCCTGCAAGCCAAAATTGTGTTTGAAAAGGGTAGGGTCAAATTAGAGATTCCAGAAGAAAATGTGGCACAGATATTTACTGTAAATGAAATAGAAACAGAAACAATTCCTCACGAAATAGAACAAGCAGTGGTCCCTTGGGTGTGGGAGGCTGGAGCTCCAGGATTATCCAAAGCAGCAACCCCAGTAGTAATAGAGCTCAAAGAAGGAGCACAGCCAGTACAGGTAAAACAGTACCCAATCAGTTTAGAAGCAAGAAGAGGGGTAGCACCTTTAATCAAACAGTTTCTAGTTCTTGGAATATTACAAGAATGTGAATCAGAATTTAATACACCTATTTTTCCAGTCAGAAAACCTAACGGAAAATACAGATTGGTACAAGATCTACAGGCGGTCAATTTGTTAACTAAAGACATTTACCCTCTCGTAGCCAATCCCTATACCCTGTTAACATCTGTCTCTGAGAAATTCCAGTGGTTTTCAGTAATAGATCTGGAAGATACCTTCTTCTGCATCCGATTGGCACCAGAAAGCTGGCACCTTTTTTTTGCCCTTGAGTGCCAAGATCCCGACACTGGAAGGAAAAGACAACTCACCTGGACGCGGCTACCCCAAGGGTTCAAATCCTCGCCTACAATATTTGGTAATCAATTGGCAAAGGAACTCGAATATTGGAAGACAACTCAGGTAAAGGACTCTCCTTTCTCTTACATAATACTGCAATATGTTGATGACATTCTTCTGGGCACTGAACAACAAGAATTATGTTGCAAGCTGACTGTTGACCTGTTGAACATGTTAGGTCAGGCGGGTTATCGGGTCTCAAAAGAAAAAGCCCAACTAGTTAAACAAAAAGTTATCTACTTAGGCTGGGGAAATCTCGTCAAGGTGTCAGGCTGGGCGACTGGGAGCAAACAGAGTACAAGCCATCTGTGCTATCCCAGTCCCACGGAATAATCAAGAATTGAGATCTTTTCTAGGGATGATCGGCTGGTATGTCGCCTATGGATTCCTGACTTCGGACTCCTTGCTAGACCACTGTACGAAGCCGTAAAGGAGCCACAGTTAATCTGGAAACCAGCACAGGAAAAGGCGTTCCAAACTCTGAAGAAAGCCTTGCGAGAAGCACCTGCCCTGGGACTGCCCGATTTAACTAAAGATTTCCAGCTGTATGTCTGTGAAAGACAACGACTGGCTCTGGGAGTACTTCTACCCAACGACTGGGACCATGGAAGAGACCCTGGCCGGGTACTTCTCAAAACAATTGGATACTGTAAGTGGGGGATGGCCTGGGTGCCTGGAGGGCGGTGGCAGCCACAGTGACACTAATCCAGGAAGCACGTAAACTGACACTGGGAAGGCACATCACAGTGCACGCACCACATATGGTTATTGCTGTTCTGGAGCAGAAAGGGGGGCATTGGCTCTCCTCTAGCAGAATGTTACAATATCAGGCCCTGCTCAGAGAACAGGATGACAGTGAATTAAAAGTCACTAACCATCTCAATCCAGCTGAGTTTCTCAGGTCCACACAGGAAGAGGGAGTCCTGGAACATGACTGCATGGAGACTATCGAGCATGTCTATGCAAGTCGGAAGGACTTGAAAGATGAACCGCTGGAAAATCCAGATTGGGAACTGTTCACAGACGGATCGAGTTTTGTGGAAAACGGAACCAGGTATGCTGGGTACGCGGTAGTTACTTCACAGGGGATTGTAGAAGCAAAACCACTGTCCCCAGGAACATCCGCACAGAAAGCTGAAATTTGGGCACTGGTGAGAGCCCTGAATCTGAGTCAAGGGAAAAGGGTGAACATATGGACTGACTCTAAATATGCCTTTGGAGTAGTCCATGTACATGGGGCACTGTGGAAGGAAAGAGGGCTACTTACTTCCCAAGGCTCAGCCATAAAGCACCGAGACGAAATACTACAACTCCTGGAAGTCATACATCAACCAGCAGCCGTAGCAATAATGCATGTGAAAGGACACCGGCCTGATTCAGGACCCGAGTCTCAAGGGAACAGACTGGCAGATCAGGCAGCTCGGCGGGTAGCTACAGGAACTTGGACTCAAATGGCTTTGTTACCAACTCGTGATAATCCAGCAACAGTGCACATGGAAGAAAAACCCCATTATACACCAGAGGATGAGAAACTGGCCCAAATGATGGAAGCAAAGAAAAATGTGAAAGGATGGTATATTGCCCCTACTGGACAGGTAATACTGCCAATCAGAATAATGAAGACAGTACTTGAAGTTGAACATGGTAAGTGCCATTGGGGTGCAGAGGCTTTGGTAAAATTTCTAAAACATAAGATTTTCTCAAATCAGATGTTAACACTAGCAAAAAGGGTGAATGCAACCTGCCCGGCCTGCATTAAGAATAACCCTATAGTTAGGAAACAGGTACAAATGGGGAAACTTCAAATTGGGCAACTTCCAGGGGATTATTGGCAAGTAGATTTCTCAGAATTACCAAAAGCTCAAACATACAAGTACTTACTAGTGTACGTGTGTACTTTCTCAGGATGGCCAGAAGCTTTCCCATGTAGAACTAATCAGGCAAAAGAAGTAGTGAAAACCCTCCTAAAAGAAATCATTCCGAGGTTTGGAGTACCGTTAGGATTGTCCTCAGATAGAGGGCCACATTTCATTGCAGGAGTTGTACAGGATTTAGCCACAACATTAGGAATAATATGGAATCTCCACACTCCATGGAGACCACAATCTAGTGGACAGGTAGAGAAAATGAATCAGACCTTGAAAAATCAATTAAAGAAAATTTGTCAAGAAGCAAAAATCCAGTGGCCCCAAGCATTGCCGCTTGCTCTGTTAAGAATTAGAATTAAACCCAGAGAAAGAATCGGAGTGAGCCCATATGAGATCCTATATGGAAAACCATACCATGCAGCAACCTACCAGGGTGATCCTCATGTACTGGGAGACCAAATTGTATTTAACTATATTTTGTCTCTAAATAAGACCCTTGCAGCACTCCGGGGAGCCTTACAGTGGAATCGGCCCCTGCCTCTGGAAAATCCAGTGCATGACATCTCTCCAGGAGACCAGGTCTACCTGAAGAATTGGTCAGCAGAACCACTGAGAGAATCATGGGACGGGCCTCGCCAGGTGTTGATGACAACCTACACAGCAGTCAAGGTCGAAGGCATCGACAACTGGATTCACTACACGAGGGTCAAGAAGGTTCCCAAGCTGTGGTCTGTGGAGCCCATTGCACCGACCAAAATGGTGTTCCGGCCAGTCAAATAAAGACTGTAACACGAGCGATAATATTGTTGTTATTGATAAATACTACTGATGCATTTGTTAAAGTCAGTGTTTCTAATTCCTCTTTCTTAGTACCCGAAGGTACAGCCGTCAATCTGACCTGTTCCTTCTCTGACGACCAGGGAGCTGGATTAGAAGAAGTGAGTGCTAGATGGCGAAAGATGGATCAGGACCACATTATGATGAATGGTGTGACTACAGTATGGAATGTGACACAGCAAAAAGGCTATACCGTCCTGCAGGTACCCAATGTAACCTCTAATGCAAATGGTGTATATTCCTGCATAGTATGGATTCGAATGAGTTTTGATTATGGATATGTCAAAATACAAACACTTAATTTTACACACAATGAAAGCACTACAGTGCAATTACCACCCCCTCACATGCAGTCTGCCAGATGGAATGATCCTACCTCTATTTATGTAAAAACTGGGCGAGTGACCCGACAAACTCATGCATCACAAATCTCGCAGGTCCCACATAGAAAAATCACACAAGAAAATTTAGTAGTTGGATTAATTAGAGATTTTGGGAGAGTTCAAAATGTCTCCAAAATTACTGCATGCCTCCCGATGCCTCAATCAGCCGGAGATCCAATTCCATGGGGAGTAATACCAGTACCAGAAGTCCCTAAAATGTTTAGAAATACTACATGGAATTGTAAATTTGTGACAACTACTTCGACTGATCTAACACTTGCCTGTCTACTAACAAAAGTGAAAACTAAAAACCAATGTAAAGAAATGCCTGGTTTTTGGCAATGGCTAAACAACCCAATTGGTGATCAAATCAAAGGCAATTGTGTAGTGTCACCCTCGGCTGTTATCCTCAATACACCGTGTAAAGCGGTTAAAGTTCCTATCCTGCGAGAAAAACGTGAACAAGTGTGTCAAAATATTACTAGTTCCACTACAATGACAGAATGGCAAACAATTTGGGGGCCGAGCCTCTTAGAAGTTTATAGTTACATTGGACAGGTACAATGGTGCATCCACTGGGTAGGTACCACAAATCAGGATTACTCCTTTTTACATCCGAAACACAAACAGTGGCGAGAAATAGTCTCACCCACAGGACTGTGGAATTGCACTCGCATTTACACATGTGACACTCCCAATAATGACATTAGCTTAGTCCCTGTAAGAATGCTTTTACAATTAGGCTGTGAGTGTCGTGGGTATAATCACTCTATGACAGGTCACAACAATTTACGTAGTCTCGACTGCCTAACTACCACGGTGGCAAGTCCAGGAAATTTAGTCTGGGTAATGGGACATGGACAATGGACCACTCACATGCCCGTAGATGGACCGGCGACACAAATTACCTTGGGTGTTCCTACACTTTGCCCATACTGGAAATCAGGAAAATTGACCACACTTGACATGCAACCTAGGCAAAAGAGAGATACAGAACAAGACTCTGAAAATTGGCATGACCCGTCAGACGGAGTTAAATTTGGGTGGGCAATGGAGTCTTTGTTCGCACCGATAGCATCATATCGCAATAGAGAAATGCTGTTTAAACTAATGCGACAAACTGAAAGATTAGCTGCAGTTACCAAGAAAGGTTTTCGTGATATGAATGTTCAATTACAAGCAACCACACGCATGACCATACAAAATCGAATGGCATTAGATTTAATTCTATTGAAACAACATGGGGTTTGCGGTTACCTGCACGCACGGGATGAGCACTGCTGTGTCCACATCCCAAATGTCACACATGAAATTGAAAATGATATTTCTCAATTAGAACAAATTGAAGGAAACATGCATAAATTACAACAATAAATTAGAACATAATTGGATCGGCTTATTATTCAGCTCCCTCGGTCTTCATATGTCAGGATGGCTGTCTTCCATCATTCAATATGTTTTAATGTTTAGCATAATAATTCTTGTTGCTTTAATAATATATAAGTGTCTCTTAAGAATAATCGCAAAAGAAGGACAACACACTCGGCAAGTTATGATGGCACTGACTCGTAAAGAAGTCCTTCTTCCGGATGGTGATTCTCCTCCCGAAGAATCATAAGCGACTACAGAAAGATTTGAGCATCCTTGCAATTGAAGATTGAAGAATGCTCAAAAGGGGGGAGTTGTTGCAGTGTGGAGCATAGGCCTGAAAAGACCCCTGCCAGAAACAAGTCAGGGCATGTCAGAGCTAAGTTAGGACTGCTTAGACATTAAGGCTGTGCTGACCAAAAAGAAACAATAAGTCAAGTAGAACCGAGACAAGAAAAATTTGCAAATAGAGATAGGATGTAATCTGGTGGTGGGATTTAATTATACGATGTTTACAGTTAGGTAAATGGATTAATACTTGAATATAATCAAAGTGATATGCAAGTTTATGTTTAACTGCTATGTCTCCTGTGAAATGTAAAACCAATCATGTAACCTTGCTTGGAAAATAGTATAAAAGATGCGTTCAAAATGTGGGTCTTTGGGTACCTGTCTTGGGACAGGAGTCCACAGGGACCCCGGGCCCTGAATAAAGCACCGCATAAACTGACACTCTGTGAGTTTGTGTTTGGATTACGGGCAGCACTTTCAGTCTCATCAAGATGCCTTTTTGAATGCAGACTGATTCTGCATCTTTCCTCACTATTTCCCCCATACCCTAATCTTGGGTCATATCCAAAGCTGTCCTGGCCCTTGCTTCCAACTGTAATAACTAACACTTGGAGAAAAAAATCATTTACTCTGACCTTACACTGAAGCTATTTACAGGGAAATACCCTTACCATCCTCACTGCCATCCTGTAACTATTCTGATTCTACAGTATGTTTTTGAGAGGGAGAAACTAAATCTGCAGTGTTCCAGATGCAAGTATACCACGGATATATATCGCTTTCTATTTTGTGGGGGTTTAGGGTTTTTTTTTGCATTTTGCTTATTGTTTTGGTTGTTTGATTCTTTTTAATAATCAAAAACCTTTAAAAATACTGAAAGGTAAGTTATTTTGAGAGAACTCCCCAATATAATTTTCTAACCTTTTTCCTCAGGAAGAGTAGTCAGGTTCACACAAATGTGCACATGTACTGTTGGAGGTTGTCATCACCTTTCTGCCCACACATTACATTTATTGACAATTTCACCTGCCATTTTGCTTGCTATCCAGCTCAGTCCTTTGTAAGGGAACTTAAAAAAACCCAAATAAACACTTTTGGCATTCAAACAAATCAAAGGCCATAAGGTTCACTACTGCACTTCATCACCAAGTATTAAACCAACAAATAAATCTATAGATGTTTGAGCCACAGTTAAAATCATAGTATCATTAAGGTTCAAAAAGACCTTTAAGATCATCAAGTCCAACTGTTAAACCAGCACCACTGTGTTCACCACAAAACCATCTCCCTGAGAACCACATCCATATACCTTGTGAACACTTCTGGGGATGGTGATTCCACCACCTCCCTGGGCATCCTATTCCAGTGCCCTTCAGTGAAGAAATGTTTTCCTAAAATCCAAACAGTGAAATTAACATGCCAAAACTCACTGGTTGAATACCTTTCCATATTATTACATCTAAAACAGCAACAGTCCAGAAATAGTGACATTTTAAAATACCTATATAAATTCAACACATCTTTTATGTGTACATAAATTACAATACTGTCTTCAATTCCTTGATTATACCTTCTCCAGAATTCTGTAAACATAATTAAAGTTCTGAGTGTTTGACTGGTTTATCAAAACACCTTTTAAAATTTACCATACAAAATATAATCATACTAGACATACAAAATATGTCTAGTAAGTATATCTTACATTTTAGTATAGAACCAAGTGCAACTTTGCTTCTTTGGTGGGCATTTCTCAATTTGATAATGTTCCTTCTTACATATTGGCTTTTATTTGTGTCCCCCCAAAAGGTCTTGGGGTGAGCAAGATTATTCTCAAGCTATTTAAAAAACAAGAAAGTAGGTCCCAAACACTGTTGTTTTTGTAATGTCCACTTTTAGCAAGAACGCATGATACTTGGTAAGCATTTTGGCATGTTTAGAAGGAGGTCCCCATGGATTTGAGTAGCACTTACAAATATGAAACATTTCTACAAACAAAACTAGGTTTCTGAAGCTGTGAGTCCAAAAAAAGGAGAAACATTGCTGCTGAACACACTGTTCTAGAGTCAGATGACTAATACATAATTAAATAAAAATTTTGCCAAAAGTTAGTTTTCCAGAGTTATGTTTCACTTAATAAACCCTCCTTTTCTCCTTCCATAATATTCTACCTTTTTCATTATGTTTTCTAAATTCAGCAATATTTAAGTGCTTCATAGTACAGCTTCGATTCCTCACCCATACTAAATGATCCATCCTTCACACTAAATGAGGGAAAATATACTCGAAAGTCTAACACACAATCAAGTTAAAAGATAAAAGAAAAAAAAAGACTTCTATAGTGGACAACACCAATCTGGATTTTCAAGCTTCAAAACACTTTAACTTTGTTATGAACTTTTGTTTTGCTTTTTTTTTTTCAAAGAAGGAATCTGCAGAGAATTCAGATGTCCTAATCTAATAACCCTTCACTGAGTGCATAGAATTTGGTGGGGGTTTTTTCCCTTTCCTCCTGTAAGCTTGTCTCTTACCTAAAGTTTCACAACAACAGCCTAAATTTAACACCCAGATGATACATCTTCAATTTTTTTATGTCTTGCTCCAAAAGAGGACAATAAACACTGTTCTGAAGGATTACAGGCAAAGCAGTTTATTTCCTTTTAATCTAATTCTGAAAACAAACGTAGTAAACATTTGAGCTAAAGAGCATGGTATTGAGTGACTATATCATATCCCCTATCATACATCAGCTACTGGAAAGGTTGAATGGTGTAATGGACTGTTGAAAACCTTTTTGAAGGCATTGGGTGGGGGAAACTTCAAGCACTGGGATCAGAACTTAGCAAAGGCCCCCTGGTTAGTCAATACTAGAAGCTCTGTCAACCAAGCCAGCCCTGCCCATTCTGAGCTCCTTCAAACCGTAGGTGGAATTAAAGTCCCCATAGTGCACATGATAAGTAATAATAATAAATATAATAATAATAATAAAAAAAAAATATAATAATGGCCAGTCTTCGCGAGCGAAGATCCGGGGAAGGTCTTTACACCTTCCAGCCTGCGCATTGGATTTATTTTAGGTGAGACACAGTGTGCGCGGAACTGAGCCCACCCTTTAATCCTAAGGTTCATCTGCCGGGGCCAAGCGAGCTTGGACGGTGGCAGTGAGGTCCTTAGGACGTAGGTGGGTTGCCTTTAAGGGCTAACGAGCCCCACCTGCCCGGGACATGATAAGTATGTTAGGGAAAAAAGTATGGATCAGTTTCACCTCAAGCAAAGGTAAACCCATCCATGGGTTTGTTTTTGCTCAAGGACAAGGATGCACTTGGTGGGTAATGCAGAAAGATGAGGAAACATGGTGCATACCTGAAGGGGACCTAATTTTTGGGTAAACTGTTGGTAACACTGTACCTGTATGTGTATATTTGTATAGAGTTGGAATATGTATATATATGTGTATAGTTGAAAGGAATAAATCCAGTAAAATGTGATGGTATAAATATTTGGGGTGGATAATGTTGTAGTTTAGTTAAATGGGAAGAATTTCAGTAATAAATATTCGTACTATCATGTAATCTGATTTGTGGGGACTGTCCCTGCAGGAGTCGGATCAGAGAAACACCGTTTCCAGGGTCTAAGAGCCTGCTGGAAAGGAGAGGTCCTGGGGGAAGCGCATTTTGGGAGCCAGGGAAAAATAAAACATTGCTCACAGCATTCCAGAAGGACCAAACAAGGACTTGTGATAGGGGGTGTGACTATATATAGCAAACTAGTGTATATGTTTTAAGTGAGCAAGAATATCTAAATGTCATAGTTCTGATTTTAGCAAAGAATTTTTTCTTCCCCTTCCCCCTGCCGTGTGTGTGTGTGTGTGTGTGTGTGTGTGTGTGCTCTGTATATTGCCCATTAGGTGAACAAAAGAATCGGCCTGGCCCAGTAATAGCCGGGAGATTAGTCTCCTTGACAACGAAGGGGGAAGAGTTGAGGGGGAGCTGGTGTGTGGGGCTGGAAGGAGGTGGGGAAGGGAGGTGTGGCTGGTGTGTGTGTGCCAGTGAGGCCAGGACCTGCTGTAAGCTGCAGAGCTGCCTAGTTTGCTTCTTTTCTTCCTGTCAGAGTGGAGTTTGTTGCTGTTCTCTTCTCAGCTGTTGCTGGCTGCAGGCCCTGCTTAACACTAATCCTAATCAGCTGAAGTTCGTGAGTTTTCTTCCATTGGGAGAACTTGCTGTTTTATTGCTGTTGTTTTTTTTTCTTTTCTTTTCCTTCCCCCTTCCCCCCCCCCCGTCTCTCTCTCTCTCTCCTTCCCCAGTGTGGGAAGGGAAGGGGAACCGAGTTTTTTTTGGTTTTTGGTTTGTACCTGGAGAGTACTGTTTTGTGGGGGTTTTTTTCCCATCCCACAGGGCGGTGACTAGAGATTCCATAGGGCCGCCTGGTGATGGGCACTGGACATTACAAGTTCTGCTTCCTCCAGTGATCCAACAGCGCCACCTGGTGAATGATACAGGACATTACAAATTTTGCATCTCCATTGACCCGACGGCGCCCCCTGCTGACTGTGGTTGGAACTGCATCAAAGGGTGTAAAAAAATTGAACTGTTTGATTTTCTTCTTGCTGGTTTATCGGTTTTGTTCTTAAAGGGAATTATTGGTGGGTATAGGAGTATTGCTTAGTTATTTTACTTGTTTTTTTTCGTGTTCCTGTTAATACACACATACCTTTAATAAAGGGCTGTTATTTTCCCTTTTCCATAATTTGTTTTCCTTCAATTGGAGCCTCTTAATTTTGGATTTATAATTGCTTGGAAAGAGAAGTTTGGGTCTTTTCCTCCTAATCCATCCTCAGCAAAAGACCCTTGTCTCATTTAAACTGGGACACTAATGAATATGTAAACAGCGTGTGCAATAAAAAGTCCTGTCTATCTGTCATGTAGCACGTTCTATTAGAGGAACTATTCTCCAAACAACCAGTGTGTTGCAATAAAGAATGTCTGTTTTTTAACACCTACAAATTGGTGTTAAAGAGTTTGTTTCTGTGGCTTTTCAGTATCATTTTTGGCACTCCAAGATGGGACACTGTCTGATCTCCCGTGGATACGAGGGATCTCTGGATCTACACACTTGCACTGAGACTTTCCTGGAGAAGACCAAAGATCCCTGGACCAGTCTGGGATGTGGGTAAGATCCAATTCAATAATAAGGCATTCTTTTTGTGAATCCTGTCCATATAAGTGCATTATTTGGATTATTTGGAATTCTGGAATTTGTTATCTGAATTTGTTTTATTGATCAATAATTGGTTTATATTTGTATTTGTTTCTATATTGTAACATTTTGGATCTACCATTCAGAGATGGGTATACGACAATCTAAAGGGGGCATTTTGAAAAAGTCCCCCATATTTGTGTGGCAGTCCTCAGATGACATCATGAGGAAATTACAAAAAGCTAAGG